CAATTTCACTTTGTTTGACTTTCGAGGACCTACTCGTTGCGCGTCCAGTCAGTATGAGCTGGCACACGGGCAAAATGACGTGCCAAAGCTTTGTGCACCGTCATAGAATCGCCCTCGCGCGATTCTGATCCTGGACCCTGTAAAATTTCGATTTGATTCAACTTACGAGACTGAAATGTACAATTTGGTGCGTTTAAGTTGTACTTCTGTATTTGTCATTATATAAGCGCCGGCGCTTATGGCCGATATTCAATTACAACCGCCCCCCAAAAAATGATTTTATTATAAGCGCATATGCGCTACTATCCGGGGTAATACGGTATGATAAATATAAACCTTTTGGATATTCCAATATCATTGAAGCAATACTCAATACTATAGAGAGGAACTTGTTAAATTCATTAAATGTAAAACATGAATGAACAACTTAGTCCTGATGGGTTGAATATGCAATCATGGAATTCAAGTCCTATAAGCATTTTGTAAATAAAATTACGTGCAGCAAGTTTCGAAATGTATAGAGTCATTAGCGAGTCTGAAATGACGAACGAGGTTGGAGAAAACCAAGGGCAAAATCTGGCTCGGAAGTGTGGCGAGGGTTACGGGGCGATTCGAGAATGGTTTGGGCCCGACAAGTCAGGCCGAACCAGCTCAGGCGAGGAGTTCGGGGGTGACTCACTTTCAGCACACAGAACTGCGCGCGAAGCTGAATCTACCCAAGTGCACCGAAGTGCACCGAAGCAAGATCCCAAGGCAGTGGATTTGGAGCTTCATCTGTCCGCAGCGCACGCAGCGTGCTGCCGTGCTGTCTCCTCCTCCCCCTCCCCGACGACCCCAAGGCTTCTCGCCCTGCCTCTCCTCCGCTCTCCACTCGCCACCCTCGCACCTGCCCAGTACAAAGCACCGCCTCACGCTCTCATTCCTCTCATCACTCCCCAGCTTACAGATTCTGTTCTTGCAAGAACCTCTCAGCCTTCCCGGTCGCGTTCTCGTTTCCTCAGCATGGCCCCAGTGTGCGAGTTGGGGTATCCGTCGTATCGTGCAGCGCGGAGCTTCTGGGAGAGCCTCGGCAGGGAGAAGTCGAGCGCATCACGGCGCGTACAGCCGCTGCGCGACAGCACCAACAACGCTCATCGCACTGACGCCGCCGCGGTATGCAACCGAGACGGATCAGCTGCGACGGAACCCGCTGCGACGGAAATCGCTGCGACGGAAATCGCTGCGACGGAAATCGCGGCGACGGAAATCGCGGCGACGGAAATCGCTGCGACGAAAATCGCTGCGACGGAAATCGCTGCGACGGAAATCGCGGCGACGGAAATCGCGGCGACGGAAATCGCGGCGACGGAAATCGCGGCGACGGAAATCGCGGCGACGGAAATCGCTGCGACGGAAATCGCTGCGACGGAAATCGGTGCGTCGGAAACCGGTGCGACGATATCAGCAGCGTGGGACCCCTTGGTGGTGACGTCGTCACGGGCGTCATCCGGTGGCAGCAAGGCAGCAGCAACGCAATCAACGATCTCGCTCCCACCGTCGCGCATCCCGAAGCCGAGCAAGACGGGAGCAGCGATACGGCGCGTGGAGGGAGCGACACTCATTCCCAGGCCTCGATGTGCCGTAGCACACAGGGAGGTGCGGCGAGTGGAAGGTGAAGCTGCAGTGAAGCCGCCTCGCAGAACGCCCAAGGCCGCGCTCACTGCCACCCCAAAGCGCCCATGGCGCCCTTGACTGCTCTCACTCACGGAAAACAAAAAGACAAAAAAAATTGAGAGACAAAAAAACACATTTACCTTTACAAAAAAAAAAGGTTGAAGACTGCTTGCAGAATGAGATGGGTGGATGGGATGGAAGGCAGGTACGCGCAGCGGAGCACAGCAAGACGCGGAGCAGCGAGTGGGGAGTGATGCGGAGGAGGGATGGGTGTGGTGTGGATGGGGAAGACGGGTGGCACGGCCCGTTTTTGCGTCCTGCTTCACAGCAGGGCGTTTGTGGGAGTGTGGGTGGGTGGTTGGCGGTTGGAGGGTGTGAGGGAAAGGTGGTGTGGTGCTGTGCTTTGAATGCGCTGCTGCAAGCTTCAAGGATGGGTGCAGGCTTGGGAATAGCGTGGATGGAAATGGGTGGAAAGGGCTGGAAAATGGCTGGAAATGGGTGGAAATGAGTGGAAATGGATGGAAATGGGTGGAAATGGTAGGAAATGGGTGGAAATGGCTGGAAATGGGTGGAAATGAGTGGAAATGGCTGGAAATGGGTGGAAAATGGGTGAAATCGGTGGAAATGGGTGGAAAATGGGTGAAATTGGTGGAAATGGGTGGAAAACGGGTGGGAATAGGTGGAAAGGCACCACTATAGGGGCGAATACGGTAGGTCCTGACATAATGACATTAGGAATGGGTGGAAAGTAGGCAGCATGACAGCAATGGCAAAGGTGGTGCCGTGACATTAGGAATGCATCCAGTGTAGGGGTAAACCGTTGTTCAGTGTGGCCACTTGCAATGAATGATTGAATGAAGAAATGTCAGTTGCAAGGCACGAGAAGTGGATGAGGGGAGCACAGGATTCGACTGGCAGTGCAGTGCCATGCACACTGAGGTGCGTGCATGAATACGGGTGTGAGAGGTTGAGAGTTTCGAGTTTCCCATGTGTTGTTGATGAGGTTGAGCTGTTGGCGAATGTAGCGCGTGGTGAGTGGTCCACACGTGGGCTCATGCAGCGCGTGGTGAGTGGTGAGGGCCCATGCGGTGCTGATGCTGCTGCACTCACCCCAGCTGCAGCAGCAACTCACAGCCCCAAGTGGGACAGGCAAGGCGTTGAGAGGTGCGAGGCGAGAGAGTGTGGCGGGGTGAGTGGTGGGGGTGGGGGTGGAAGCGGCGGGGTGGGGAGTGGGCGAGGGCAGGGTGGGGGCATGGAGGGTGAGGTGGGGGAGTGCACGGCACGGCACACAGGGGCAAAAGACGGGGAAAGGAGAGGGAAGCAACGAGAGAAGAGGGGGACGGGAGGGAGGTGGATAGGAGGGGGGCAGGAGGGGGAAAGGTGGGTGAAAAGAGGGGTAAAGGGGGGTGAAGGGAGCGGGAAAGAAGGGGTAAAGGAAGGAGAGAGGAGGGGGAGAGGAAGCGGGGCGAGGGAGGGAATGGAGGGCGGAGGAAGGTGCGAGCGAGGGTTTGGTGCATGGGCATGCGATGGCAGCTCTCTCATAGCCGCAGCCAGCGCCCTCATGGCACGGTTGGTGCGGGAAGGGGGGGTTGGTGTTTGGTTGAGGAAGGCGGAAGGGGGAGGAGGGGGCGAGAGCAATGGCAGGCTGCTTGCATGAATCTCTCATGCACACGAAATGGAAGGAAAGGAGATGAGTGGGGGGGAGTGGGCAGAGGAGGAGGGGATTGGAGGGATGACTGCCACTTGACACGCCCCTTACCCGCACGCGCCACGCCTCTGCCTCTCGCACTCACGCTGCTGCCACGGACTCACTCACCACTCGCGCCTTTCACTTTGCCAACGCGCCTTTCACGGGCGCTCTTGCCGCCAATGCCCACTTGGGCAACGCCACTGCCGCCGCGCGCGCGCGAGTCATGGCGGGCCCACGGGCGGCGATCGCCACGCTCTTCGCTTTTCGCGCTTCGCTTCGTAGCGTCGAGTCCTGGCGAAGCACGCACGCGTGGTTGGCGGGAGCGGGGGGGTGATGGGCGGGTAGAGTGGGTGCGGTGCGCGCGGGGAGGGGCGAGGCAGCTCGCATCACTCCGCAGCAGCGTCCCGCGCATCCGTCCGCGAGTGGCGGCCGCCGCCAATGGCGCTGCCGCGTGAATGCGTCTCAAAAATTGCGGGGGGCTCAACTCACCCCCAAGGCAGGTTACCTCGGGGCTACCTACACCAACTTCGCCAAAACATGTCTTGAACAGGGCTGTCGATTCAAGGGCATATGGCCTTAATGCCCTGAACAATAAGGTCTGGCTTTGTTCCAGGTTCCGAATTCGCCGGGTTGGTTTTTTGGGGAGGCCTGAATTCTACCTGGCGTGACCTGGGCCTTCCCCTGATTCTTACAGGGGGCACTTGAGGGGGTTTCCCTGATTCCCAGTGGAAGTTTCGGGGCTACCTCGGAAACTTCTACAACACTTCCCCCCCCCCCCCCCCCCCCCCCCCCCCCCCCTTTTCCCAACCACCCACGCACGCAACCCCCAACCCATCCATTCGCGTGACTTGTCAGATATGTTTAAGGTTGGCTGATCAATTGCACAGCTTCCCCCCACCACGCATCTCCGTTGGTCCCACTCTCCGGCATCCAGCGCCTCGCCCACCCAGCTTCCCTCCATTCCACTAACACGTCCAACACAGGAGACCACTCCTTGGTTTGAGTGGAGTTGGTGCCCTTGTGAATCGTTTGATTCGTGGCACATTGGCCTGGCGTGACGTGAATCACGTCCCAGCCAGCCCAGTCCCTCCCTCCCAGACAAACCTCCGCCTCGTGGTTGGTTGCATGCGCGGCCAACCTTCCCTTCCATCCACCTCCCTCAAATCTGAATCAGCCATCCCATTTAAGAATTTACCCCTCCCACCTCTCTTCACTGCATCACGTTTTCCCGCACTCTATGCTCGGCAGGCTAGGTGTAACTCCTCCAGCTATGGAGGCAGATAGTGAGTTCGATTTTTCCCCCCTCGACGCTCTAGCCGGTATTTGTGGCTCGGTTGGCACGGTTAGCTTGGACCTAAACGCGGACACCAATGATTCTGACGAGGACGTGGAGGACCAAGGCAATGAGGAAGAAGACCTAGGCGACGAGGAAGAAGACCTAGGCGAGGAGGGGGATGATGAAGGAGAGGAGGAACAAGAGGACGGAGAGCAGGATTACCTGGACATTGACATCAACGTTGACATCACGCATGCAAAGTTTACCCGACTGGAGCGCGCGGCACATGGATCGAAGAGTTTCGCTCGTCCCGCACGCTTCCGCCAATCTGTGATAAGTTTCGGCGGGTCTACTCCTCTCACCCGTCCCGCGAAGAAACGGATGCGCACGCCTCTGCCTCCCCGGCCGGATCCTGTCGCGGACAACGACTGGCGGGCGAGCCTGGATGCGGAGAAGAAGACAACGGTCAAAATTCCAGCATCGGAGCAGGCGATGGTGCGTCATTTCAACCCAGCCTGGAAGGCGCAGTACTCATGGCTAACCCTGGAGTTTCATCCCGTGCTTATGCAGTACGGGATGAAGTGCAAGGTTTGCAAGACACACGCACCTCACACTAAGTCTCCTTTTGGTCGAGGTGGTGCTGGTGGTCGTGATTTCCAGAGGACAGCGTGCAAGCAACACGATCAGTCTAAGGTGCACCTGGCTGCCATGACCGCCGAGCGACTTGCACAAGGGACGGAGACAGAGCAGCGCAGTCTCCTCGACATGCTGAGCCTCGACCCGCGAATGGCTCGTGTGATCAAGTGCCTTCAGGCTGCGTACTGGATTGCTCGGCATGATGCCCCCATTGTTCTGTACTCCAGCCTTGTGCGTTTCCTGGCAGATCTGGGGTGTCCTGACATCAAGAACGACGAAGCGTACGGCCGGTACTTCTCAAGGTGTGTTGTGCATGAACAATTCTCGGCCCATATGTAGTGGTGTTAAGGGATGTTTGTACTAACATAATTTCTGTTTAATCATTGCAGGTACGCGTTCGGAGAGTTTGTAACCGCCCTGGCGAAGCACTTGAGCGAGCGGCAGCTGAAGGAGATCAAGTCCAGCGAGTGGTACGGCCTGTCGTTCGACGAGTCAACCGATCGTGCCCACGGGAAGCACTTGATCGTCTACATCACTTTCGAGAAGACGGAGTCGGTCGTGACGCAGTTCCTCGCCCATCTTCCTGTCAAGAAGGCCAACGCCGTCTCACTGTGCGCAACCATCTTGGCCTGCCTTGAGGAGAAAGGCCTCACCTTGGAGAAGTTCGTCGGCGTCTCCACTGACGGCGCATCCGTCATGACGGGAGAGCGGAGTGGCATGGTCGCCTTGCTGCGCAAGAAATGCCCGTGGCTTGTGGCGGTGCACTGCGTCGCCCATCGGTGAGCATTGTCGTCTTCTTGTGAGAATGTCTTGATGTTTAGTCCTCCTGCCGTTACCACCTTTTAAGCTCTGCTTTGTTATTTCTGTTTGTCAAAACCCGCGTCACAGGGAAGCGCTAGCCGCCAAGGACGCGGCAACGGAGATCCCTGAGTTCAACGTGGTTGATGCTCAGATTCGCAAGACCGCCGAGCACCTCGGCCGCTCGTCTGTCGATCGCAACACCTTCTTGCATCTTCAGGAAGAGATCCTGAAGACGAACCTGGAGGTCCAAGGGATCTTCGCAGTGCGGTGGTTATCTCGAGGAGACGCGGTGCAGAGGTTCTGCGACGTTCTGCCGTCCCTGCTTTGGATGTGGAAGGAAGGGAACAAGAAGATGTGGCGGATTGGGAGCAGCTTCAAGTTCCATTTCATGCTGTACCTCCTTGCCGATGTCCTTGACCTCCTCAACATCCTCAATCTGTCGTTTCAGAGGAACCGGGTGTGTGTTTGCTACTTATTCGTTTTGATTCTCTACGTTACCACTCTCTGACATGCGCCTATACCCTCTCCACAGGTCGACATCGCAGAGGTTAAGAACCTCGTCGATAAGCTCAAGACGAAGCTTGCACAGCGGTACATCGAGCCTGGCGCCAAGTTCGGGTGCGGCACCAAGTCCAGGCTGCTGAAGTTTCTGGAAGCCCATGCTAAGGACCGCAACATGAATGTGACTGGGCTGAACGCGGATGGCGAACGAGTGATCGAGGCTTTTGAGCTGCACGAAGAGCAACTCGACCCCGATGATGAAGATGAAGGCGGCTCTGATCTCGAGGCCTGCTATGACCTGGGACGGAGGTTTGCAGAGGCGCTCATCAAGAGCCTGTCAAAGCGGATGGCAGACCTCCGCCATTTTGACGGTGTGCAATTTTTCGTGGCTGCCAGCTACCCTTATCGCAGGGGTGACCAGGACATGTGGTTCTCGTCCAACATGGAGCAGCTACTGGAGATGTTCAACCATAAGCTTCCAGGTATGGTTTCTGTAACACACACGGGCTGAAAATGGTATGCCTAGCTAACTCTGTCTTGTTCTTGGTGTAGTATTGATATATGCTTTGTTTCCCATGGCCATGGCAGGCGTCGCAGCAGAGGACATTGAGCCCGAGATCAGGCTTTTCACCGTCACCCTCGAGAAGAAATTTAAGAACCAGAGCTTTCACCAGGGCTTGACCAACATGCTGCGCACATCCGACTGGCGTGGTGACTATCCCAACATTGTTAAGCTCTGGCGTGCTATCTCTGTCTTGCCTCTCAGCACAGTGGAGTGCGAGAGGGGCTTTTCGAGGCAGAACATTATCAAGTCGTGGGATAGGTGTGCTCTCAGCGATGTCAGGCTGTCCGAGCTTATGACCGTGAAGATGCTCGATTACGACGTGGACTGGGCAGATGTGTACCAGATCTTTGATGGGGAGAAGAAGCGCAGGGCTGCCACTTAGATTTTATTGTTGAGTAGGTACTAGGTAGTAGTTTCTGAAAATGCTAGATTAAGACGTGGACTTACCAGATCGACAGATGGGGGGGAGAGAGTTTCAAGCAATGCCACTTAGAAATTATTAGTGTGAATGTAGTTACCGTATGTAGGTACTAGGTAGTTTAGTTTCAAAGTAAAATGTGGCTGAAATGCTATATAGGGGATTACGATACCCTGAATGTCGTAGTGTAGCCCTGAATTCAAGGTCTGAGTTGAGGTCTTTCCCGGACGCTTAAAGGGTTGGAAAAGGCCACTTCCCGGTAATTTCAGGCCTGGAAACCGGGGACCTCAGCCTCTCAAGTGTTGGCCTGGGACCAAGCGACAGCCCTGGTCTTGAACAAGACCCGAAGTCACAACATCACTGCGAAGTCAACCGCAGACTTGCCTCAGGCTTCAAAATATCCAACCTACATCAGGCGAAAACACTGCTCGTCAAAACGAAAACTCTCGTACGGTAACAAGCAGTGAAATTGTTACTGCTGCAAAAGTCCAACCACACCTCCATCGCATTTTGTCCAGCACAGCACTGTCGTGGCTGATATTTTTTTCCAGCCTCGCTGTACTTCCAGGTCAGAAAAGTAAAACCTATGCTCGTTTCTTGTCCATAAATGCACCCACACAGGCAGGTTCGGGCAGGTTGCTTGCATGGATTGACTGCCAGCTGACACAGAATGACACAGTGTGCAATACTTTCACGCCACATCGTAGAACTTGACGTTTTGTCGAATCATTTAAAGCCATGTCGAATCCCTTGAACCTGTACTGCCCCTCGCCACGTCACCACACCACCCCATCTCTCTCGCCTGCTCCAACCATACCTTCGTCCCAAGCAACAAGTTCAAGAGAGTCTCTCTCTGTTCATTTCTTGATTTATTCCTTAGCATGTCATACGTTTGCCCTCTACTACCTCTTACCTCGAATCCACGCGTCGCTGCCTCTACTCATATTCTGGTCGGCTGCTGCAAACAGCGCGTCGTCATGCATTGACGCCGTAACATTGTGACACCTAAACACGACTCTACTTTGGTGAGGCTTACTCGGAGTTAGTGGGTGCACGTAATGCATGGCGATGGCGGTGGCCGTTGCGCGCTTGCTCTTCTCCCCGTTCTGAACGTGCCACCTGCTGGTGTGTTCGCAAAAGTGAATCTATACTCGCTACAAGCAGTCTTCAGCTTCTTCAGACTTGTTTGTGGTCATGTACACACCACTACCTAAGAGCCAGTTGGGAACCAATTAGGGCATATGCTTATGTTTCCAAGTAGTTTCAAGCATTATATGCTACAATCCTGAAATGGATTCACATATTGTTTTGTGCATAACTGTTTTAGACATGTATAACCAAGTGATTCCTAATATATTGTACGGTATTCGCCGTGTAGTTTAGTGTACTGTGTTAGAACAACTGCGGGATCTATGTAAGTCTCCAAGAAAGAGTAAAGACAGCGGAGTTCTTTATGATTATACATTGTTCATAGTGAATGCAAATGACAAGATCATAATAAGAAAAATTACACTCCATTACCGTATATGGTCATAGCTAGCCATGTACTTTGAAGGGCACATTCCCTTGTGTCCTACAGGCTATTGTTGTAGGGAAATTTCCTAAATCCTTATTGGGTCACCATGTACGCGTACAACTCCAACTTTCGGAGTTGCAGGCGTCATAATAGGAACGTACGAATGATGGACTAGATAGCAAGAGTGAGTACAAGTACTGCCTAACCCTAAAGTGTTGTACTCTTGAGGGTATGCCCCACTACAGCCTAGAGGGAACAAATACAGTTTGACACATCCCCATAGGCAAAGTGGGGGATAGAAAACATAGCGGACGGTCACAAGACCAGTCAAGCAAGAGAACAAAGCAAAGCAAAGCTCAGGGTGGATCTCAAGATCACCACGCATTTTGAGTACAAGCAAGCGGCCACAAGGCCAGTTCACATGCAGAGTTATTGTTGGGCTGAGAAAATCCCTTAGGATCGTTTCAAGGCTAAGACTCGGAGTGATGGTGTAATTGCGGAAGCGTAATAGTGAACTGATTGAACCACCTTGCACTGGTATGTGAGAACAAGATAAGTTGATTATAGCAAAGTAATACAAGGCTTTATATGATTACAAGGGAATATGAAAAGACATAACTAACGGTTGCTGTTGCTGTTGCGATTCGATACAGCTGCGACTCGGGCAACTGCTCAGTAACGAGTTGTCAAACATTCATACTATAGTCTTTCTAGGCTGTAGTGGGGTAGACAGTATGGGGTACAGTTTCCTAGGGTTACATATTTGTACCCAACTCATTTCCTAGTCAATCATTCCTCGTATTATTCTCACATGGTATAGAGCGGGTTCCCTAGTGGGACCGTTTTTTTTTCCTAAGGGCCCACCACTCGATTTTTCTTCCTTACCTGCCCGAAGCGCGCTTCGCGCCTGCCCTTAAGCGCCCCGTCGCGCCCTGTCACGGCCTCCTTGCGCCCTTCGCGGCCCCTCTTACGGCCCTTCGCGGCCCCTTCGCGGCCCTTCGCGGCCTCTCTCGCGGCCCCTCGCGGCCCCTTCGCGGTCCTTCGCGGCCCCTCTCGCGGCCCTTCGCGGCCCCCCTCGCCGCCCTTCGCGGCCCCCTTAGTGGCCCTTCGCGGCCCCCTCACGGCTCTTCGCGGCCCCTTCGCGGCCTTCGCGGCCCCTTCGTGGCCCTTCGCGGCCCCCTCCTCACGGCCTTCGCGGCCCCCCTTCGCGGCCCTTCGCGGCTCTTCGCCGCCCCGTCGTCGCCGCCCCTGCCCCTGCCGTCGCCAGCTCCGCACGTCGACCCGCCGCTGCGGCCTCGCCCTGCCCCTCTCGCCGGTCGCGGCCTCCACCTGCAGCAGCCGCCGAGGAGCCCTGCAGCAGCTGCTGTCCCTGCCGCCGCCGCCGAGCCTGCCTCAGCCGGTGTTGCGAACCGCCGCCGCCGCTGCCGTCACTACTGCCCCGGCCCTGCCCTGCAGCCGAGCCGCGGCCCTGCCCTGCCGCCCAGCTGCGGCCCCGAACCTGCCGGCGCACCACGGCCCTGCCCCTCCAGTCGTGGCCACCCTACTCACCCGCCCCTGGTAAGCGCACCGCCGAGCCGCGCCGCACCGCCGAGCCGCGCCGCCCTGCCGAGCCGCGCTCTTTAGCCGAGTCGCACTGCCGCTACTGCCGCTAGCCTGCTGCTGCTGCTGTCATGGCTAGTCCCAATGTGCTTACCTTCGATGCTGAGGGTCGAGCGGTCGACTTTGAGGTCTGGATCGATGATCTGCAGCTTTTCCTACAGTGCGATAGCAAGGACGGTATCTCACTGTTTGATCTCACTTCTGGCGTCTCTGCTGCACCTATTGCTGATGCTACCAGTACTGTTCGCTCACAGTGGACCACGCGTGATGCTGCTGCCCGTCTTGCTGTCCGTAGTCACCTGCCGTCTGCTGAGCGCGCGCACTTTAGCCAGTACAAGTCTGCTAGCACTCTGTACACTGCTGTTGTTGCGCGCTACTCCTCCCCTGCCACTACTGCCCTTAGCCGCCTCATGCTGCCGTACCTGTTCCCTGACCTAGCCGCTTTTGCCACAGTCGCTGACCTCATTACGCACCTCCGCACTAGTGACACCCGCTACCGCGCTGCGCTTCCTGCCGAGTTCTGCGCCAAGAACCCCCCCCCTATGTACATCACTCTCTACTACCTTGTCACCCGGCTCCCTGACTCCCTTTGCTCGGTCAGGGACCACTTCCTCTCCCTTTGCCCCACCACACTCACCGTTGACCTCCTCGAGGAGCGCCTCCTTGCAGCTGAGAAGAGTATAGTAGCTGTAGGAGCCTCTCGTGGTGACCCTCGTGCCCCTTTCTTTGAGGGGTGCTCCCCCGTCCCTCTTTTGCCCTCTGTTGCCTCTGCTGCTGCTGTCGACCTCGTTGGCACCGAGTCGGTCGGCACTGCGTCTGCCCCTAGTGGGAAGCGCCGCAACGGCAAGGGCAAGGGGGGCAAAGGGGGTGGAGGGGATGGCGGGGGCGGCGGTGGTGGCGGTGGAGGAGGCGGAGGGGGTGGGGGTGGAGGTGGGAGTGGTGGCGGGAGTGGGGGCTTCGGTGGCGGCGGTGCAGGTGGAGGCGGCGGAGGCAGCGGGAGTGGGGGTGGAGGTGGCGGCGGCGGCGGTGGTGGTGGGGGTGGCGGGGGCGGTGGTGGGCAGCGGGGAGGCTCTAGCAGTGGCCAGCGCTAGCAGCAGCAGCGCTCCCGTGAGACCTCGTCGCCTCAGCAGCTTCGTGAGTGGTACGCTGGGCGTGGGAGGTCTGGGGGTGCTGGTCCCTGCACCTACGTTCTTCGCACCGGCGACCGCACTGGAGAGACGTGCGGCGGCCCGCACACCACTCCACGCTGCTTCGGCCGCCTGACTGACGCCTGGCGTACTCAGTTCCCTGGCTCCACTGAGATCCCACGCTGGGATATTCTGCTTAAGTCGGGGGTTGCTATCTTTGATCTTGATTATGATGCTATCCTTGCTGCTATGTATGCTGTGTATATTAGTGCTGAGGGTGACTGTT